TACGTATCTGATTGACGGCTAGCCTTAATCGAAAGTTCTCTCTCGTGATCGGGAGGGGTAATTAACTATAGGGGCTTGCGCCTATAGGAAACCAGAACTCAGATCATAAAGTCCTCACAAAATGAGGGCGAAATCTCTGGGTAGAGTCTTATCTACAAACCCATCTGCCTTCCAAAATTTACCCCGGAACTTATCAGTTAAAACCCCCTCGCTCAAATAAAAAAGAAATCGCGCGGCGGGGAGGCCGGGGCCGAATTTTCGGAGCCCACACGTACAAATCCAAATTATGCTTCAGAGCATATTCAATAATTTGAACCGTCTCCTGAAATCGAGGTCAACAAAAGTTCACAAAAAAATCTTCCTTATATCCTATAACAAATTTGTATCCTTCCATAATTTCTCACATTCACACAAAAATTTTTTGGTTACACTAAATGATATTCATATTCCTTATCTAATGAAAATTGGAAAAGTGCCATGAAAGATGAAATGCAGGCCCTGGAGAAGAACAAAACATGGGAGATCACCAACCTACCAATAGGAAAAAAACCAGTCGGCTGTAAATTGGTGTTCTCTGTGAAATACAAAGCTGATGGTACATTAGAAAGGTATAAGACAAGACTGGTGGAGAAAGGGTACACTCAGACGTACAATATTGACTACCAAGAAGCTTTTGCACCGGTGGCCAAGATGAATACTGTGAGGATTCTGCCCTCACTAGCAGCAAATAACAATTGGTATATGGAACAGCTAGATGTCAAAATGCATTCTTACACAGGGACTTGGAAGAAGAAATATTTATGGAGATTCCGCCAGGATTCAAGGAAAAATCTGGGGGTAACAAAGTGTGCAAGCTAAAAAAGGCTCTATATATACTAAATCAGTCACCTAGAGTTTGGTTTGAAAGATTCTCAAAATTTATGCTACTTAATGATTATCGACAAAGCTAAGGGGACCATACATTATTCTTCAAGCACTCAGACTCAAGGGAAGTCACAATTCCATTATTTTATGTGGATGATATCATCTTGACTGGGAATGATGAAAAAGAGAAAGTGATTTTAAAGAAATGTCTTGCTAAGGAATTTGAGATCAAAGATCTTGGTAGATTAAAATATTTTCATAAAATTGAAGTGGCCCACTCTAACAAAGGCCAACTCCAGCAAAATAATCTTCATTTCACAACAAAAATTCATTAATGATCTTCTTAAAAAATGGGCAAACTAGCTTGTAAACCAACAACAACACCAGTATAACCAAATCAAAAATTGGGGGAAGCTAAAGAAGATCCTAATATAGATAAATGATCTTACCATAAACTTGTGGGAAAATTAATTTACCTTTCCCACACCATACCAGATATAGTGTTTGTTGTAAGCATAGTTAGCCAATTCATACAAAATCCAAAACAGCTCACATGCAAGCTGTAGACAGAACACTACACTACCTTAAGGGGAACCCAGGTAAAGGGATTCTCTTCAGAAGAGACTGTGGAATAATCCCAGAAGCATATATTGAAACAGATTATGCAGGATCACCAGTAGATAGACGATCTACATCAAAATACTGCACATTCCTTGGAGGAAATCTTGTTATATGGAGGAGAAATAAACAAAATGTGGTGGCAAGGTCTAGTACATGCAGAAGCAGAATACAGAGCTATCACCTTGGGAATATGTGAGCTACTATGGATCAAGATGATTCTAAAAGACATAAGGATTAAGTGGGAAGGACCCATGAAGCTACAGTATGACAACAAATCAATAATTAGCATAGCTCATAATCCAGTTCAACATGATATGATCATGCAAATAGAAGTGGACAGACATTTCATAAAGGTGAAATTAGACAGTGGTCTTATATTTATCGATCATGTCTCATATTATCAGCTTGCAGATATTCTTACCTAGGGACTCGATAACTCTATCTTTCTGGGACTGATTATCAAGCTGGGAATGACATATCTTTATTCCCCAACTTGAGTAGTATTAAATCCTATCCGTCCCTTGGCATTTTGATCCCACGGCTAGGATGAGAATCCGTGGGAGGCTCACCTCTTAGATCCCATCCGTCCATTGGCATTTTAATCCCACGGCTAGGATGGGAATCCATGGGAAGCTCACCTGGATCACACTAATCTCCTTCCATATTTAGTTGGCTGATTTAGGAAGGATTATATTAGAGCATTTATGCATGATTTTGTAATTATTTATTTCTTTATTAAGATGTCTTGTATATATCTATAAATAAGGATATTTTTATGCAATAAAATTAAGCATTTTCCCTCTCCAATTCTCTGAATTTAACAAGATGTTCTTTACTTATTTCAGGTGAAATCCATGAGTATGAAATTTAAGTATTCTACCACCATCATCAACCTTATTGTGAAAATTCATGGTAGGTCTTATGAATCACACAATTCTACACCTTATTCAAGTCTAATATCTTGTCATATTACTTTTTATTAATCATTTCACCTTGCAATTCCTTTCGCATCAATTTTATCTACCCTCTTTTTCATCAAATATTAGGCATTTACTATACATGTCTAAATCCCTTAAAAATCTATTTTCTATCTCTTCAATAATTGTTAAATTCACACCATAATATAATCTTTTGGCACTAATGAATAATCCTTCTCAAACTTACCTAAAATCCATCTTAGCATTCAAATTGCTATCATATTTAAGGGTGGTTTGGTTTGAAAGTAAAATGGGTGCAAAGTATTACAAATGCATAGATTTTGAAATTAATGATGTTTGGTTTGAACTAAAAAAAAATGCAGAATAAAATTTTAAAATATTTGGAATTCACTCTTTACTTTAATTTGGTGTATTTGAAAATTCGTTAGAATTGGTTGAGTTTGAAATATACTATTGTTTGTTTTCCCACCCATCGCTGCCCCTCGCCACCTGTCGGCAGCTACCCGCCGCCATGAGCTAGTCGCCACCCTTACCTGCCTCTAATCACCAACCGCCACCGGTCACATCGCTGGCCACCAACCACCACCATTGTTGGGCTTTGCACTACATTCATTTATTTACACCCACCAAAACAACTCAAAAATATTTCGAATACATTGCATTTTTTTCTCTACATTCCTTTTTCAACAAACCAAATAATCTCCTAACTAATATTGTTATTGGCATCCTTGTTGTTGGCCACCTGAATCCATACAACATAGGTCCTTTTTGTTGAAGTTTTTTTTTTCAAGCAAATAAAAAGCAAAGAAAAACAATATATAGAGTAAAACTGAAAAGTTATGCACTAGTTAAGTACCAATATATGATTCATATAAATGATGTGACACCTCAATCTTTGTACTTTTAATTTATGGATTGTTATATAGAAGTCATTATATAAGGACCTATCATTTCACCATTTGCATTACTGCTTTCATAAAATCCAAGCCTTCCATAGCTAGTCTTTGGCAAATAAATGGCTTTTCCAAGTTTGAATTCTGATTTTTGTAGTCTGGAAAACTGAAACTAGCCTAACGATGGGATTTTTCTATCAATTCTAAAGGGTCACCACATTTATTATATATCAGCCTTCATAAAGTTGAAAAGATCCCATAATCTCTCATTAAAAAAAAAAATCATGGTAAACAAAAAAGCCATCGTAATTTGTAAAACATGGAAAAACATTCCTACAGGACAAATCATAGGCAATTACTCTATATAACTGATGAATGTAACGAAAACAAAGGTTATTTTGCTAGTTTAGGATTTACAATCTGCAATACAGGGTTGGGACATTTTCCTATTGCTTGTTGGCGTGCTTGAGCATGCTTCCAGAGTTTTTGCTTCGTTGGATGGTTTCTTTGCACTGCAACATGGCAGGCCTCTCTAATAGGCATCTGTAAAAAGGTGAAGCACACAGAGAGTAGTCAATTTACACGGTAGATAAAGAAGGCACCAAAATATTCTTGACTTGATTTATGTCAAAATGTTTAATAGGTGAATAGTCCAGGTTATACGCACCTCAAAGCATGCAACACCAATCAAAAACATATTAAAAGCTTACTGCCTAAGAATAGTGTATTGTGATGTGAACTTTTAGTCATTTAGATCACAATTATCCCAAAAAACAACCCAAATACCATAATATCAAATATAAATGAAGAATATGTAACATATATATATATATATATATATATAATTATGTAGCTCTCCTGTGACTTGGTAATTATGAGTTCAATTTATGACGACAACTCCAGACCTAGAATTGACAGTCTCATGCGTTGGGTAGAAATAAAACAAAAGCAACAACACACGGATGCAATGAATGTGAATGAATTGTAAAATGTGATAAATGATACTAAGAAACATATTAATATCAAAATTAAGATTGTATTCAATACTTCAAAACTTCCAATTTAATGAAAAAGAGGTAATCAAACCTCAGCCATTAGCGCTTCAACAAGCTCAATTGAAATTCTCCTTTATCCTTTATAAGGCTAAACAAAAGCTGTTGACAGTGTGTTACCATAAATTTGGTTCAAGTGTTTTCCATTTCTCTCACAATCAAATGAATGATATTTCCCCATGCAACCTCAAGAATGCTCAATTCTTTAGAGAATCCTCGGGTTATCAAGATTAGGTGATAAACACTGATCAACATGGTTTAAAAGTTTCAGCTTTTGATTAATTTTCCTTTCATATATATATATATATATAGCTTCAGTTAGTTGAGTTACAGAAAATTGTTTAAGGAGAAGCTTACCTGCAAAACAAGGCTTCCTGAATAATCTGCAATTCCTCCCATTACATCCAATCTCCCAGGTGCTCTTGCCACAAATATATCTTCCTATATGAAAACAATTTTCGTTAAGAGCTCATCTCAAAAGAGAACGTCTCAAAGGATCGTTTCAATCAGGACACCATCAAGACTCAAACATGGTGTCTCCTGCTGTATAAAATAATGACAAGGACTGATAGAGAGGAAGAGAGAGAAAGTATCAAAATCAAGTTTGATTGGACATATAATCGAGTTGGAGAAACATACTTTGTGAGTAATATGCAAGTGGAAACTAAGTTTACAGGAGCTGTCAAGAACTGTTGAATTTTTTTAAATATAAAAATCGATAGAGTCCAAATGGCATCTTTTCCATAATTTCCTAGAATGCAAGAGCGTCCCAGTGTCAGAGATGATATCGGCCCTCTATAAGTGTTAGGTTTCATGAACTTGGAATAAAAGCAAAACGTGATAAGCTAGCTAAAGGAATTAAGGTATACAATGACACTAGAATCATCAATTTCTGTGATCATTGAAGATAAGATAGGATAACTCTCAAATTCCATAAAATCTATAAACAAGCCTGAGTACTCTGAAAGATAGCTCCTTAACATATCAGATTTGGCCTGTTTGAAAAGCTCTGTTCTTATTCATCGAATGCTACATAGAATGAATAAAACTTAAGACTAACTTCATTCAACAAGGAAATGTATGTGCGAAGATATCTTAATAATTGAAACTCCACATGCACTGATACATAATGAAGACATGCAAGCAAGCTAGCAACGTTTGAGAAATTCCCACTTTTGAATTCCACTTAAAAGGACAGAAGTTTAACTTTTGCAATGCCGGAGTCAAATGTGACAAATCATTAGCCAAAAAGATCTTTGCCAGTTCAAGGAATGATGATGGAAAAGTGTTGAAGCAACTGCAACAAAGTATGAGGTTGTTAGTCCGGACCTCCCAGTTAAAGAGCGCAGCAGCAGCACTCTGCTCTCTTAGCTGGCGCTTTCCTGTGTTCTTTCCTGAGCCAGATCCACAGTCAAGTGCTGACAAGCTCTTTAAGAATGCCAAAGTATCTGATAATCCATGCAGCTCTCCATGAAGTATTTCAAAGTCCGCAATGCATCTAGCATATTAAAACAACAATGTTATCAATGATTAATAATGTAGTCCTAACAGGAAGTAAAAGAGGAGGATATTAAATTGGAAACTGACGATCCCACAAAACTTGTATCTCCATTTACTCCAGAATGACATGATTCAGAACGAAGGCCAAGTTCATTTTCAGCTTGTGTATACCAATCCGGAATGGAGATATCCCTACCAGGGGATCTTTGTAGTTGATATCCAAGTATTATGGCATCACGCAATCGCCTTGCTCCACTCAACTACATTTTAAACAAGTATTAGGATTAGTTAAACAAACAAGATTCCTTCATTTAACCAAGCAGCGTGTATTTTTGTATTGCATGAAGACATCATTCCCAAGAATTATAATTTTGAAGCCTGATCACTTGTAAATATGAAATAAAATACATTACTTATTGTAACAGAAATGGAGAATAAAAAAGAGGAAAATTAAACATGAGCGCATAATTATTCCATGTTAGGAGGCTTACTTTCAGACTTCCAAGGGAGAACGGGGATATTGCCTATTGAAATAATAAAGAAAAATACTTTACAAAAACAAAATGAAAATAAAAGAGCAGACACCTCAAATTGTTCATATTTAATAACGGCACTTGCAAAGACAGCAGAAGTGGAGCAGCAACCATCAAGGAAAATAAATCAACACCATCAGTCTAAAACAGAATAGTGTATCTACACCTTACACGTGTAAAGCAAAATTACTTTCTCTATTTAACTTTACACCTAGGAAACTTCTTTTCATCTATATATACACTACAGTATATGTAATAGGTGTATGAAACATTCAATGAAGAAACCTTCCGGCAATATGCTGCTCTGGCTTTATCTTCTTCCAGAGCTTTCCTAATCTAACTTTGTTGACTCAAGAAAAACGGCGTGTCGGCATGAATACCACTTTGAAAACTTAGGATTCCATCATCCTAAAGTAAGATTGTAGTTAACCAAATTTCTCCTAAGGGTAGTGTCAAGGTTTAATTAGATCAAGGTCCTTAACTTCCCATGAGCGCAATCACTCATTATTAATTACCCCTCTTAAGTTGTAAAAGAGAGCTCTCGATTAATGATAAATAATTTTAGGTATTTTTAGTCTAAGTTGTAGGGGAAAATGGAGGTAAACCCGATCAAGATCCCATTGTTCCGTTGTCCCAGGTATACCGTAGATTTCAGTCTATCAACACTAACAATCATTGAACGTAGTGTCTAGGGAATCTGATCAGTAATCGTTGGTTGCCTCCTCTCAAGGATCTCGAGTAAATTAAGGTGGTTAGATGTGGATTGGGGTTTACATCTATTAGAATACCCAGAAGTTAGTTTGGTTTGGGATTTATAACTTCGTTTAGAAGTTACCCATATGTTTAAATTGAAGTGAGTATTACGGCTTCTCCTCGAAATAGTCTGGGTGTTTGAATTTGAGTACTTACGGCTTTCATTGAAAGTAGCCCGTAAAACGAGTCTTACGGCTTCTATTAAAAATAGCCCTGATGGGGACATCAGATTTTGACACGTGTACCATTGCCGACGGCGCAGATCGACGGCTACATTGAAAGTAGCCCGTAAAACGAGTCTTACGGCTTCTATTAAAAATAGCCCACTAGTGGGTCTTACAACTTATCCTTACAAACTAAGATGCCTGATTGTTTTGTTTGAGGGTTTGATGTTTTGTTTAGAAATTTCTCAAAAAAAATATATCTTATGTTTTCCATTAGAAATTGCTTGATTATTTGGGTACAACCTATCCCTATAGACTGAGCTGCCCATTCATTTGAATTTGATTTAGGGTTTGATATTTCATTTAAAAATTTTCCAAATAATAGGTCTTACGACTCCCATTAAAAGTTGACCGGTTATATGGGTAAAACGGGTCTTACTGTTGCCCTTTGAAAGTAGCTCAATAGTGGGTCTTTCCAAATAATAGGTACCTATTAGTTTCATTTGTTTGAGTTTTAGGGACTTGCAATTTATTTAACAATTTTTCTAAAATGTGGGTTTTATGACTTTAATTAAAACTTGACCATTGGCGAGTCTTACAATCTAGCCCTATAGGCTAAGCTGTCCATTAGTTTGAATTTAATTTAAGGTTTGATATTTCATTTAAAAATTTTCAAATAATAGGTCATAAGACACCCATTAGAAGTTGCCTAGTTATTTGGATAGGACAGGTCTTACTTCTTCCCTTTGGAAGTAGTCCAATGGTGGGTCTTACAACCAAACTTTATAAACAAAGCTTCCCAATAATTTGAATTTGGTTGATAGTTCTTATAATTCCCTTAGAAGTTGTCTGTAGGTTTAATTTGTAGTGGGATTTACTGCTCCACTTAGGAGTCGCCACGTTGATTGGTCTTACAATCTAATTCTACAGAAAGGCTGCTCGTTGGTTTTATAGGACTTGCTGTTTCCCATAGGAAGCACCCTATAGTTTGTGTTTATAGTAGATTAGACTTTACTCGTATGTGCTTTAGCTTGTAGTTGTTTGCTAGCATCACATCAGATATTTAGCTTTCAATTGTTTTCATCAAGTCTAACATTAGTGGTTTTGCTACAGTAGTTTCTCTTCATGCTTTAATAATTTAGTACTTTACCCTGCTTTTTTTTCTTGCACCAGTGTTGTACCTTTACTTGTACCAGTGCCCTGCTTTTTTTCTTTCAGTACTGTAGTTTTGTGTAGCACATGTTCTTTTCTTACCTTAGAAATTTAATTTTAATGCTCATGAGTTTTATTTGTTTGTTTGTAAGAGCTCGTACTATTTTGGAGCTCGCACATAAGGATTGGAGAGCTTGGAGGGTTTGTACATGAGAGGTTTTCTTTTGTTTGAGTCTTAGTTTTAGGAGGGTGGTTTCACTGTTGCTTGTACATTATGGTTGATTAGTGGAAAAATATTATTTCTTTTTCTGCATTCAAAAGAAAACTCATCGGAGTGGCTCTCTTCACATTAATTGATTAATTAATTAAATTTTCTATTTTAATCAACCAATTAATTAAATTTAAATTTCATTGTCCTTGAATTTTAAGTTGTTCCTAGATTTTAAATTTGCTCTATGATAATTAATTAAATTTACTCTCGAATTTTAAATTGCTCTCGGATAATTAACCAATTAATTAAATTTGCTCTTGGATAATTAATTAACCATATAATTAATTTGATTAATTCATCTTAATTAACTAACTAATTTTAGTTAATTAGTTACAATTAATCAATCAAAATTAATAAACTAATTTCAAATAATTAATTAATTTCAATTAACCAATTAATTTTGATTAATCAATTTTAATTAATTGATTTCTATTAAACAGTCAATTTTAATTGATTAATTTTAATAAATCAATTAATTTTAGTTAATTAACTTTGATTAATTAGTTTCAACTCAATAATTCTCATTAATTAGTTTTAATTAAAATTAATCAATTGACTAATTAAAATTAAAATTGAATTGCTCTTCCATTTAGTAGTCTCTTGGAGCAATTTCGACAACCTCCCGGCATCCCCTCCCCACGAGGGAGGTTGGGATGACACTTGTCGTTGATTTCTTCCCGGCTGGATCTAAAATTGACGGCGTGAGATATTGGATTTGAAATCATCTCGGCCAGATCTAAAATCAACTATGCAAGGCCTTGAATTTGAAGCCATCCCGGACGGACTTAAGGTCCACGGCGCAAGATCTTTATAGATTACTTGTTCCTCTTCTCTTTCTTTCTTCTTTTTTTTATTTGATTTATATTTTAATATATAAATATTCCTCTGCTATCCCACGAATGACAGTAGCATTTACTATACATTTTATATGAGTAAAGACTGCAATGTCTTATACATTTACATTTTAATAAACATAGAAGCAGTTGAGGGATAATCGAAGCAGGCTTGGCTACAAGAAACCACGAGGTGTTCGCACAGTGAAGGTGAACGACGGGTTGCGGCTCACGTGGGAAGCAAAGATTACGAGAGTGGGTTGTGGCTGACGGGAAAATCCACACAGGAACAAGAACTTGAGCGGAATATTGCTCACGGGCGAAGGCTCGGGAATTTAACCAAAGGGCTTGGGGTTCGGTCAAGTGTTCACAGACATAGCAGAGATTGACGCAGGAGGTGTCAATTTAGGCCCGGGCATGCGTAGGCGATGTGTAGGGAGGCAAAGACAGCAAAAGTGGAGCAGTAACCATCAGGGAAAATAAATCAACACCATCGGTCTAAAACATAATAGTGTATCTACACCTTACATGTGTAAAGAAAAACCACTTACTATGTTTAACTTTACACCTAGACAACTTCTTTTCATCTATATATACACACTACAATATATGTAATAGGTGCATGAAAAATACAATGAAGAAACTTTCACAGCTTTAGCTTTATCTTCTTCGAAAGCTTTCCTTATCCAGCTTTCAGGCCTGCTGTATACTTTCTATAATATTATTCTTGGTCAAGTACTTTAAACAACTAGTATATTAGCCAAATAATGGGCACACGCTCTGTGCTGCGAAGGCTACTTTGTCAGGTTTCTGTTGCATGATATTCACAAGGAACGGGAGAAAAAGTAAAACAAAAACACAGTTTACAATATAACAGCTAGTTAAAACACCAAACGAAAGTGGGGAGGAGGGCATAGGTGGACATAAAGATGACCAATTTAATATGTTGATTCACGTAAAAGAACAGCATAACAAATTATAATTTAAGATATACCTTGTCCGTTAAATGGCATTTGCCAATGGCAGTATCTTGTAATATTCTGGCAACCACCTGTGACAAAAGTACTAGATAATTATATGTTTAGTGACCATGAAGGAAAAGAGAAAAATATTACGGATGATGCACAATGAATGTAAAATCAAAGAACAAATCGACGCAGAAAATATATAAAAAAGTTATGCATTGTAGCTCTGTTTATTCAGGGTCTCCTTTTAAAAGAAATCACATAGCACGCCATTAATTTGGAAATAAATGTACCCCTTTGCCTTCTCTTCACAGATTTCACTTGAAAATAATTCAAAATCCGTTCCTTTAAACACATGGCATACCAATCCTCAACTCCCAAACAATTGTTTCGTATCTGTTCATAATTGTGTATCTTAGTTTAAGCTCCTCTTTCTTTCTGTAGGAGAGTGGGTCAGTGGTGGGTAATAAGAATGGCATAGATTATATGATTGCGATGAACTTCAAAAGATACTGAACAATACAGGGCAAATTATTATGTGTGGACGCTGAACACCATCCAGAGACGAACCAGAATGCGCCACATCACCCCCACTTGGTACCGCGCTCGGTACTACTGACGTGGCGTATTCTGATTGGTCTCCGGACGGTAAACTGAGTTCGGCGTCCGCACATAATAATTTCTCACAATTATGGAGAGGTTTTTGAATAATTTAATGATACTCATCAAAAAGCCAACCCCAGAACCAGTGCTCATTTAAATATATCTATCAAAAAGATAAATGTGAGACGCATGAACTATATGCAAACCAACAGCAAAAAACTAAGGAAATGCCTCTTTTCTCAATTACTTGCGCAATATCGTACCATAGAAAGCTTTTTATAATTCCACTAAGGAATAAAGTTCATTCTGCAACTGAATTAATAATCACTTGTCAGAAGTCTTTAATTCAAGTCACTACAGCCACTTCAGCAGCAGCAATCTTGCAGCATGGAACTTAATTGGTTTGAAATAATGACGTGCAGATTATGTAATAAACTATAAATGATATCTGACATGTAATGGTGTCTAATGAGTTTCCGATAGGAAATACTTGAGTACACAAGTAATCCTAATGGGAATACTTGAGTTTACAAGCAAACCTAACAAAATCAATAAAATCAACAAGAAAAATAGAAGAATTTGGGTGGAAGCAATCAAAATCAATAGATAATTTCATAGAAATCAAAGCGAAGCAAGAACGAAACAAAAATACAATTGATCCTCAATTAGAGAGGAGGATCATTATCTCCCAATCTCTAGACGAGAAGCCTAGAGTCCAAGACACCAAAAAGAACTCGAAGAGAAACAATAATCATGCGTGTCCTAACCCTAGCCTCTCATGTTCTTTAAATACAATCCTTCATAATAAAAAGCTTCCTAATATAAATTAATTTCAAATTGCCCTCCTCTAGCTTAAACTGTCCTCTCTCTCGTATTGCTGTCCAAGGAGATGGGGCCCATTTAATTAGGTGGTGGGGTTTAGAGGAGGCAGCTTATATGTCTGAACCGGCCCCTCCTGGGCCTGTTTGGGCTGAGGCGGAACAATTTCTTGGCTAGCGGTCAGCCTAGCATGACACAGGCTTTCTCACCAAACTATGGAACCAGAATTGTTATTCTGGTCATTGACTTACAATAAAACCAACAAAAATAACACAAATATCGCAGCAGAAGATATTGATATGATGACATCATCAAAATGAATTAATACAAGATAAAGAAAATCACCTCGCCACCATTAACACCATCATCATAACATGGGCTAAGGGTTAGTGCACGCCCTTTGCCTTCTCTTCACAGATTTCACTTGAAAATAATTCAAAATCCGTTCCTTTAAACACATGGCATACCAATCCTCAACTCCCAAACAATTGTTTCGTATCTGTTCATAATTGTGTATCTTAGTTTAAGCTCCTCTTTCTTTCTGTAGGAGAGTGGGTCAGTGGTGGGTAATAAGAATGGCATAGATTATATGATTGCGATGAACTTCAAAAGATACTGAACAATACAGGGCAAATTATTATGTGCGGACGCTGAACACCATCCAGATACGAACCTGAATGCGCCACATCACCCCCACTTGGTATCGCGGTTCGGTACCGCGCTCGGTACTACTGACGTGGCGCATTCTGATTGGTCTCCGGATGGTAAACTGCGTTCGGCGTCCGCACAGAATAATTTCTCACAAGGAGAGGTTTTAAATAATTTAATGATACTCATCAAAAAGCCAACCCCATAACCAGTGACTCATTTAAATATATCTATCAAAAAGATAAATGTCAGACGCAAGTACTATATGCAAACCAACAGCAAACAACTAAGGAAATCCCTCTTTTCTCAATTACTTGCACAATATCATACCATAGAAAGCTTTTTATAATTCCACTAAGGAATAAAATTCATTCTGCAACTAAATTAATAATCACTTGTCAGAAGTCTTTAATTCAAGTCACTACAGCCACTTCACCAGCAGCAATCTTGCAGCATGGAGCTTATTTGGTTTGAAATCATGACGTGCAGGTTATGTAATAAACTATACATGATATCTGACATGTAATGGTATCTACTGAGTTTCTTGGCTGGCGGTCAGCGTAGCATGAAGCAGAATTGCTCGTCGATAAAACCAACAAAAAGTAACACAAATATCCCAGCAGAAGATATTGATATGATGACATCATCAAAATGAATTAGTACAGGATAAAGAAAGGCACCTCTCCACCATTAACACCACCATCATAACATGGGCTAAGCGTTAGTGCACGCTCAAGATAAGGCTTCCAATGTCCAATAAGCAAATCCCTTCTTATCATCTCTACACCACCCTGATAGTACTGTATACGAGAAGTGTAAGATTCTTAAAATACGCAATCTACTTGTTCAAAGTGATAAAAGAAGAATTGAACTAACCTCAAGCATATTTCTTAGAAAAGGCTCCTCATTAAAATAATCCCTCCTTACAAAGACAAAAGGTAGCTTGTAGGCTAAAGCTTCACTGAAAGTACCATATCCAATTTTGCCTGATGCGAGTCACGAATGACCAATGAGACCTTAGTACCATTAAAATGAAGCTTATCTACTGGAGAAAATACAGTACCAAGCATGCAATCAGATGCTGCTATTAAATCAGGAGTATATGCATCTTTCGCAAGCTTTATAAAGTTTGGAGGAAGTACTTGTTTGTCGGATGCACCACAGACCTAATACAGAAAGATAAATTTTATTAGACAGAACTTGCATGCGCTAAAAGAACAAAAAAAAAGGTAAATAACTCTATAATGAGAATACCAGACATAACCAATGAGCAGGTAACCATTCTTGCTTTAGTGTCCATCCAGCTGGCTGCAATTAAAAACTGAGAATCAGCATGCCATTGTACTTGGAAAGGTTAAAACAAAAATTAGAGAATTTATTTTCAAGCATAAATCAGGGAAGTTTATATTTTAGTTAATCCTCAGCCTCAAATACAAGTTGTATACTATGCTTAACAAATCAGAAAGGCTTATTTATGTATTAGGCATTTGGAAGTGCCTCTTCCGTAATAACAACAAGACTTTCAAGTACCACATATGCATTCTAAATTTAGTATCCACAATGGAGAGACACCTAGAAATCATATAACATTACAATAACTAGGAAGAGTGCAAGGAGTGTTAAGGCATGTGAGAGTATCGCATTAAGTCCTATCCTGATCGTTGAAACACTACAAATTGATTTTTTGAATTGATTTTTTTATTAAGTTAATCATGCTTCAACAAAAAAACACTGAAAATTGATTTTTTGACAGGAGCTAAAAGTAGAAAGGCTTGTAAATCTGAAAATAAGCATGAATAGTTAGATGATAGCTCACCAAATCAACCTATTGCATCTAGACCTAAAAAGGAGGTGAAGCCGCTATACCTAAAAGAAACTACTATTTCTCATAAGCCTAACTATTGCAAATATTTGTTATGAGGATTCATCTTGTCCGCATATGATTGCATATGCTCTAAATGTTATGAATTATACCGATGATCACAAGTCATCTACTTTTGACAAAGCTTTTAGTGGAAGATAATCAAAATCATGAATCACTATTATGGTAGAAGAGTTGGAGCCATTTCAGAAGAATTAAACTTATGATTTGGTTTAACTCCCTAAAGGAAAAAAAGAGTTATTGCCTGCAAAAATAATTCTTCAAACACAAAGAATGAACACAAGCTGAATATATTAATATAGATATTAAGCACAATTGGTTGCAAATGGTTAACCAGAAGGAAGGCATGGACTTCAATGAGGTTTTCTCACATATTAAGCATAGCTTTATTTGTATTTTGTTAGTGGGTTGTACTAGAGGACCTAGTGTTGGAATGGTTCGATTTGAAGAAATCTTTTTCACGGTGACTCATATGCGACAACCGCCAATCTTTGAAGGTGTGGGAATGAAAGATCATGTATATCTAGTTAAAAAGTATTTGTATAGCCTGAAGAAACCCACCGACAATGAAAATTCAATAGTTTTATAATTAATTATGGGTTTGATATAAGCATATTTAATAGGTGTGTGTGATGTGATGCAATGAGGAGTTACACAAGAATTTAAAAGAGAATTAAATTTTAGCTCCACAAATTATCTAATCATGCATCAAAGTTAAGTCAATTATAAGTAATTCGCGGTGTTCAATTTGCTAGGCAAAGAAACTACGACAAGAGAGCTAAACTCTTTAAGCAAATGCGAAGGAAAAATAAAACAAAGGCTAGTAAATAGAAATCCCACAATTAATACAAAGTTGTTCACCTTGAGACCTTTAACTCTCTCTTCCTACGGAGACTAGGTTGAGCGACGGAAGATTGTCCAAACTAGCATGGAGGTTGCCACTAAGATGGAAGCACCAAGGAACGTTGCCGTGGAAGAGGATCTCGGAGGTGGAGGAGGCACGGTAAATCGACCTTTGATAATCCAAGTGTAGACGGAGAAGTGTTCGTCAATGGAGTCTACAAGCGTCGGCAAGATTCGGTCCAAGTATTCGTCGACGGTATCGTCGAAGTCAAATCCGACGTCAAAGAATTGTGATCGCAAGATGTTGACTCTTCCGTTGCGGTCGTATTCAAACCCGTAGTTCCACTCGGGTTCGTCCATGCATCCTTGGAGTGGAGCCGGATGGTCGCCGCAAGTAAGATCTTCCCAAGGAGGAGGGGTGGAGCGGCGGCTTGGCTAAGGGAGAAGTAGGCCGGCGGTAGAGCAAGGAGGAGAGGGGCGGGCTAGGTGGTGCACAACTGAAATTTGATTTCAGTTTGGAATTTAGGGGATGAAATTAGGGATTTTTGAAATTGCAATAATGTAATTAAGGCATTAATTGAAATTTCAATTATGGGGAATATTAGGGGGCCGGCGGTAGAGGAAAATAGGAGCAGGTTTTGAAAAATAAAAACTAAAATAATCTCAGTTTCATTTGTGTTATGACGTGGAGGGGAGGCAATTAGGCTGATTTGATTTCAAACAAATCAAGAGGATGGGAGGGAAATTGATTGCCTAATCAATGGAAATCCCATTATTGAGGCCGGCGGCAATGCTGGAGAGAGAGGGAGAGATTTAAGGAGGGAAATTGGGTTGCCAAACTTGGATTTAGATTTAAAATTTCTGAAATAAATTTCCAATAAAATTTTAAATTTAAAATTGGGATTTATTCCAAAACTTTCCAAAATTGGATCTCAACAATTTGGAGGGAGATTGCAATTTGGAAATCAGGATTTGTGAAGGAGGGGGAGGAAGGGCTGGAAGAGGAAGTGGCCGGGTGGAGGTGGAAGGGAGGAGGCCGGCGGTAAGGGGCCGGCTGGTGCAATTGGGGGTGGTCGACGTGCAGGGCTAGGGGCGGCGGCAGCAAGGGGTTTTCGGCCTTCTTCTACCCTCTCTTCTTCCTTTGAAATCTTCTATGATGGAGATGAAGATTCGCGGACTCCAACCTTGGATAGCTTTCAAGTGAACTCACAAAGAGAACACACGAGAACTCACTAAGAGATCTCTACGTTATTGAGCTCACAAAGAGAACAAAACAAGGGAAATTTCATTTCAATCATCAATAATCCTCATACAAGATACAATGGCCATATAAATAGGCTCCAAAGAAAATAAAGTGCAAAAGTCTAAAATTCCCCTTGGGGCTACAAAAGCAACTACTACCCTCAGGGGTAAAATGGGAAACTACGAAAATAAAAGCATAATATAAAAACTGATGGTACAAGTAAAATCAATAATAAAGGCTCGCAATCATGGCCGTCGATCTCCGTGGTCGTCTCTGATAGATGCGCCGAAATCTCCTATCGATGACCTCATCAGTGTGTGCTATAAGCAGTGCATGGATGAACCTTTTGGCTTTTGTTTTTCTGCTAGCTTCCTTGATGTAAAACCTGAAATTGACGATCGTAAGCATTGCACGCATCTCGATGCATCGCGACGAAATTTAAGTAAAATTTCATGTTTCTGAATTTTTGCTAAATAACTTAATAGCCCTTAAGAATCTTAAAGAAAAATAAATGCATGAGAGGACAAAGTGGTCCTTTGGCAAATCTCTAAACCACTAAATGCCTTACGGGACCGAATAGTTTCGGTCCCTTTCATTTTCTCCCACACGGGTTTATTTGGCCGAACGTAAGAAGAGGCGCGGACGGGAGAGGGCGACGGGAAGCTTCGACGGAGTCATTGGCGGCGGTTTCTGGCGACTTTCTTTGAGGGAAAGTGTAGAGAAGACTAAGAGAAGATTAAGGTAAGTTGTAATTAAGAGATTTCTCAAATTTTGATAAAGTTTTCTTTAAGGGAAAAATCTAGGTCTTGAAAAAAACTTCACATTTCTTTAGGAGATTGTTAGTGGAGGTAGGAAGGATAATTCTAAACCTAGAAATGAGGTTTTTCCTCAAAAATGTTGAGTTGGAAAAATTAGAGTTTTTTCATATTATTGGATTTTTAAGAAGTTTCCTAAGGAGTAATGTTCCAATGATCATAGGAGGATTTCTAATGATATAGATTAGGATTTTTCTCAAAATATTATTTTTCCTAATTTTTAATTAATTTATCCGAAAATTTGGTTTATTTTAAATTAATTTATGCTTTAGCAATACGTTAATTTTGAGTGATTAGTAATATTATACAAAATTAGAGAGAGAGAGGGGGAGAGAGAGAGAGAGAGAGAGAGAGATACTATAGTAATTTATAGGAAAAGAAGAATTAAGTTTGAGCTTATTAGTTTTAGCTTATGAATATTAAATTATTTCTTATAGGTGTTAATTTTTGTGACCTCGAAGGAAAGAGTACAAGTGAAGAAAAATAATTACCAATTTTAAGGTAAGTAAACATGTTTCTATGTTACGGTAATTGTATCGTTTCAAATTTTCATTTAATTGTTATTGCAAGTTATTCACTTTACTGCATTTCAAATGATTCAATGTTTCATCTCTAGCATATTAAGTTATTCACTATATTACTGCATAAAGCTTAAGATAGAGCATAATATTATAATATATGAATATGATATGATTGATATATTGAATGATTGCGTGTGCATATTGAAATGATGGAGCTCACCCCTTTATAGCTGGGGACGTTGTACCCGTGCACATTAAAATGGTAAAGGTTATGGAATAGGATATGGTAAATGAGTACCTTCATTGGTACTAGACAGTGGATCATGTGACGGTTGTACTATATATATGAAAATGAGAAAGTTACAAATACATATATGATGAATGTAAACTGAATATAAAATGATATGCATTTATGATTTATGATATGTTTAAATGAAAAGTGACATCTAGCATATTACTTCTACTGCCTTGAATTACTGTAATTTATAGGCATTGTTACTCGTTAAGCTTTGGCTTATTGTTGTTGCTCTAACTTTTATTTCAAGTAAGTTTAAGATAATCAAATGAGCAGAAGAGACAGAAATGTCTACCATATACGTGAGGTACAAAAAGAAAGTTATTTAAGTTAAGTTATTTTTGTATCAGTTTATATTTTTTATGTTTAGTGGCTCTTTCAATGAATTGGAAATAGATTTAGATTATGATTTTATCATCCGACCATTTGTTCCCGCCTCGTTAATTCGAGCCCCTGGGTCGGGTCGTGACACTTGATGATATGTTGGTTCCAGCAAGATGCATGTCGCAAATTTTTTAAAAAAAATTGTAAGTTGATTTGAGCATGACATTTGACTATATAATATTTGTTATAAATTTGCTTCTCTATTGGAACAAGCAATTGATGCCCCCCTTCTTCCCCTTCATGTGAACCTAGTTCACTCATGACAAATACTTACCCAATCTCCCACCGCGCACAACTTAGCTCTACCGTGCAATCAAAATCACAT